GAAACAAAACAAAAATCTTCCCCTAGAGACTCTAGAAGGAACAGCCCTGCTGACACCTTCCTTGATTTTTAGAACTGCTGACCCCAGAAACTGTAAGATAATAAATATGTTGTTTTAAACCACTAGGTAATTGCAGTAATTTGTTACAGCAGCAATAGGAACAAATACAGTCTAGAACAGTGGCTCTCAACCTGAGGCAATTTTGCTCCTTCAAGGCAATGTTTGGAGACATTTTTGCATGCTGGAGGTGCAACTACCATCTACTGGGTAGAGGATCAGGATGCAGCCTCTGCCGCATAGGACAGCTCCCTACAATGAATAAGTTTGACCAAAATGTCAGTAGTACAGAGGCTGACAAACAAAACTCTAAAGTGACTCTTGTAGAGATTCAAGGCACCCTCCCCAACCCTCTCTCCCCGCTCTTCTCTTTAAAAACAAATCTCCAGGAAAACCATAAAGAGACAGAGAAACAGGCCAGGCTCGGTGGCTCAGCCTGTAATCCCAGCACTTTGGGAGGCCGAGGTGAGTGGATTGCCTGAGCCCATGGGTTCGAGACCCGCCTGGGCAACTTGGCAAGACCTCATCTCTACAATAAATAAAAAAATTAGCCGGGTGTGGTAGCACGCGCCTATAGTTCCAGCTACCTGGAAGGCTGAGGCGGAAGGATCGCCGGAGCCCAGCAGGTCGAGGTTGTGGTGGCCGGGAGCAGCCACTGCCCTCCAGTCTGGGCAACAGAGTGAGATTCCAACTCAAAAAAAAAAAAAAGAGAGAGAGAGAGACAGAGACAGAGAAACAGTCAGGCGCGGTGGCTCACCCTGTAATCCCAGCACTTTGGGAGGTGGAGATGAGAGGATTGCCTGAGCCCAGGAGTTTGAGACCAGCCTGGGCAACTTGGCGAGACTTCGTCTCTAAAATAAATCAAAAAATTAGTCAGGCGTGGTGGCGCATGCCTGTAGTTCCAGCTACCTGGAAGACTGAGGTGGAAGAATCGCACTCCAGCCTGGGTCACAGAGTAAGATCCTGACTCAAAGATAAATACATAAATATAATTGCAGCACACTGTGCTCAGTTTATATAAAACTGGCTTTGTCCAAGGGCTATTTCATTGTTTAAGAAAATAGAAAAATGTATTTTAGAACACAGAGCACTGACTATTGTCTTTATACAATATTAGCAAAATGCACAAGACAGCTTGAATTTTAATGTTTAACCATCTGTTGGGCACCCTCTCGTACACCCCAGTACACTCTGTACTTCTGGCAAGACAGACCAGGAATACAGTGTTTCGCTTCTCACGTGAACTCTGTGTTTACACAGCCACTTGGTGGCCGGACCACGTGAGCTTCTTGAACAAAAGGGGCCGTGTCTTATTGCTCCCCAGCTCCCAGCCCAGAGCACAATGCCTGGCCCACACCATACATGCACAAGTGCATGCTGCATGAATGATCGAGTAACTGGAGAAAAGTCGGCAATTTCCTGCTGATCTGATGGGTTCTGCAGGCGTGGAGGAGCAGAGGGACTATTGGGTTGTAATTACAAGGCGGCTAGTTGGTCCAATGACATGGCTAAGACCCTGAGTGGGAAAGCCTGGATCATGAAGGACCCAAAGAGCACCAAGACCAGGATCTAGCCAAATAAGGCCCTTGGAATGGACACATCTGAGTTCAAGTCCTGGCCCTGCCACTACCAGCTGAGCAATGTTGGGTGAATTATTTAACTTCTCTGAACCTCGGCCTCCTCATCTATAAAATTCACTCTTCCAATAGAGTCAAGTGAAGTGAGCAAGGTGGAGAAGAGGCGAGAGAGATGGCTGAGGGCCAGAAAAAGCCTCTGTGGCATATGGTTTTCCACCATAAATTCATGTGCCACCCCCTACCTAGCCAGGGACTACATTTCCCAACATCCCCTGCAACTAGGTAGGACCATGTGACTGCACTCAGGCCAATGAAATGTGGACAGAAATAACTTGCGCGTCGCGACATAGCCCCGCAACCCATTTTCCACACCCTGGTGGCCTCCCCTTTGCTGGGATCCTGCCCAGAACACACTGATAGCACTTCAGTACCACTTATAGAGGGCTTGCTATGTAACTCTTCTCAGCTCCCTGAAGGACATGGGCTCCTTCTTTCTTGGCTTCAAACATGCTACGCTCTCCATCTGGCATATGCCCTGTCTACCCATTCCCTGGCCAACTCATCTGCTTATCCCTCAGGTCTCAGCCTAGATATCACCTCCTCCAGGAAGCCTCCCCTGGACTCCAGGAGGTAGGCACTGTTAGCTTCATTCTACAGAGGAGACAAACTGAGGAACAGAGAGGTTAAATGACTTGCCCCAAAATCACATGACTAGAAAGTGGGAGGAGTTGGGTTCAAAGCAGGTGCAGGTTTCCAAGGCTTTCAACGCACTTAGCACTTTCTTAACCAGTGCTTCTAAAAGTGTGGTTCCTGGATCACCGGTCACAGCAGCAGCAGCTGCCACCTTCCCCGGGAAATGCTTAGAAATGCCAATGTTCAAGCCTTATTCCAGACCCGCTGAATTAAACTCTGGGGGTTGGTCCAGACATTGAAATTTAAACAAGCCCTCCAGGGGTGCTGATGTGCACTGGTTTGACAACTGCTGGCCTAGAGAATGTTCTGCAGTTTAGGCACTTCCTGTGGCTTGCTAGTCCCTGCTAGGTCTAGAGTGCTTCACAGATGGAGAGTGGACGACCCTCCATCCTCTGATTCTCTGGCCATTTGAAATGCTTCTCTGAGAATCCCATAGCCCTGGGACTTGGGATCGCCAGGGCCTGTCATCTTCTGCTTTATCATCAGCATGATAGTGACTCACTCTCTGCTTTGCAGAGGCTTCTTGTTTGTGCCCATCTGCCTTGGCACAAAGATGATCAAACAGTTTGATCCAGCCACACTTTAACGCCAAGCCGCTTTCATCCCAGGTGTAGACATGGTCGTCACTCTAACCACCTTCTTCTAGAAGCATTCTCTGTTCATTGAGATAACAGCAGATTCTTGGTCAGCAAAACCAATCTCCCTTGACACAAAAACCTTTTTATTAGCCAGCCACTGTTACTTTGACTATAGTCCTAATCATTCCGTTGTTCTGCTTCAGGTATAAGAATTAGACCAGAAATAGAGACTCCAAGAATGAACCTGAACAAATCCAAATTTTTGCTGTTCACTCTCAGCTTTCTTCATGTAGTTCCCAAAATCCTGGCAAGCAGACGCCAACCCTAGTGAATACCAGATAAGACTTCCTTGGAGAACATTACCAGTGCACAATAAGAAGTTCACAGAAACCCTTCCCCAGTGGAACAGCCTGGCCAGATCACCCCAATGAGAAAGGACAGCCAACAAGCCACACCCACAGACCTTCCAAAGAGATCATTAGAATCCTGTTCTTTTCCGAAGTCAGTCAAGAATCTCAGGGGAGGTGGAGGGAGGGGCTGTGCTCCTGTCATTCAGGGGCCCAGGTTCCTGCTTGTGGCTCTGCCTTCCTCTGGGCCCTCAGGGTCCCGTGGACTTGAAGAGCAAATGAGGAAAGAGTGGGAGGTCCTTAGAGTCCAGGCACGAGAGGGGCACACACCATCTCCACTCACATTCCATTGGCCAAAACTCAACTGTGAGGCCCAACCAAATAATAAGGGAGCCTGAGAAAGTTCATCCAGGGAGCACATCAGGAAGAAGAGAACATGGGCATTGGTGACCCACAGCTGTCTCTGCTACATAAGGCAGGAAACACATTTTAAAATCAGATCAGTGATATATCCTTCATCAACCAAAAAGTATTTTTCTGTCACAAAAAGCACCTAAGAAAGAAATTGTAAATCTCAGAATGTACACCTGTGATCACATGTAAATTGTGACCATCTCAAGTGATCATCAGGCCCTGACTTCCGGCCTTCCTCACCCCTGCAGAAGATAAGAACTTGGGACTTCACACCCTTACTTTGAGAAGGGGGCAGAGAGGAGGGTAGACGCCAATCCCAGCCATGTTACACTAGAATTCATGTCAACAGGATTTACTGTATCTGTTGAATTAATAACTGAACAAAAGCATCACTGGTCAAGTGCTGTGGAGGCCACAAAGAAGGAAGACACTCACATTTACCACCTCTAAACCCTTCCTCCTTCCGCTGGTATCTTTCCCAACTCAGCTTAAACATCACCTCCTCCAGGAAGCCTTCCCCAATAACTCTTCTCCCCACCACATACACTCAGTAGGCACTACCAGCTTCCACCTGCTTGCTTTGTATTCCCACATATTTTGCTTGTTAGAATCTGTTTATGTAACCAGCTGTTACTTACACAGGGAGTTTCTGGGGCCTGAGAACCACTCTGGGCCTTGGTTTCCTACTCTGTAAAATCAAGGTGGTATTCAATTCCCTGCAACTTTACAGCCTATCCGGAGCCCTCTGTCATCAGATACTTCCCAGAGCCACAGGCCCTCACCCTGTGGGCCATGCACTGTTCTAAGCACCTGACATGTGTTTACTCATCTAACCCTTCCAAGGACACTAAGAGGTAGATACTAATACTGTACCCACTTTATGAATGAGAAAACCGAGATCCAGAGAGGTTAAGCAACTTGTCTAAGATAATATGGCACATGACGGAGCCAGAATTTGAACCCAGGACTCCAGTTCCACGGTTTCCTGCTCGTGGGTATTTTGTCCTGCTTTCCTGGTTTAGTGGGGCCCCAAGGCAGGGAGTGCCCACCACCAAGGACCCAGAGTTCAGACTCCCTGAGAGTGTGCCCATTGAGCGGATCACCTTCCGGCGCAGCTAGGCTGATTCGCTGCAAGCCCCACGCGGGCGCAGGCGGATCTAGGCCGGGGCTTACCCGGGAGGGTCCCTGCCCCGCGCTGCCACTAGCTAATGTTCAGCCTCTTGGCGCACGTGTCAAGGGCGCCTGCCAACAACTCAACTCCCGCAGCCAACAATGCAGCAAGGGCGCGTCTACACAGTCCTCGAGGTTCTAGGAATTTGGGCTGACGCAGGCCTCTAGTTCGGGGGACCGGGTGAGGAATGCGGCTTCGGGCCCTGCAGGGGACGGGAAGGCAGGGCTGCGCCCACCCTCTGCGTGCCAGGAGGTGGGGCCGCCCCAGGCGGAGGCCCCTCCGAGCTGCCACTTGCAATTCTTTCCCCAATCACATCGCCATTAATCTGCATGACTTCCCCCATTTTACAGAAGCAAACACTGAGTCCGGTGAGTTTAACCACCAAAGGAGAAGCGCCCCCCCCTTCTTCCGCGCGGTCTACCAAATCCAGACCCACTGCGCTCCAGGAGCCAGCTGTGCACCCAGGGGGGAGCAGGCCTGCAGCGCCCGATCTGGGCCCCCCACCCAGCCTTGCCGGCCGCTGCCCGCACCTACCTCCCTCGGGCGGATA